AACCACCCTATATTCCAGACTGGATAGGCTGCAAGGACGTCGGGGGGGGGCACCCTGGATCCATTCCCATTCCCTAGTCCTGGAGTGCTGGGTGATTGCAACAAGCTGCTCGGGAAATTGCGAGGGAGGAAAGGTTTCATCAGCGGTCCAAACGGCAACCCGATCGGCCATATCATTCCAGGGATGGCCGTCATGGCCTTTGACATGAAAGAGCCCCAGAGACCTCCCTCTGGATGCAACTTCCCAAACAATCCTGGTTGTGAGCGCCGGCGGTCCTCGGTCGGTGGGTCGGTGGCCGTTGATGGCCGTGACCGCGTTCAGCGAGTCCGTGTGGATGCTGACGTCCCTGGCGCTGGTGTCGGCGATGGTGCCAGTAGTGCCCATATGACTCCGACGTATTCTGCATCAGTGCTGGCAGTGTGATCCGGTGGCAATTCTGTCCTGCAGGTGTCGCGAACCCACCCAGAGACATGGCCTTGGCATGAGAAGCCGTGATGGTCTTCGGCTACTTGCGCTAGCCCCCAGGTAGCTGTGGAAAGCTGTTGAGCCTTGACAGACCCGTCGGCGTAATCGCGTTTGGCCAGCCATGTGGATTCACGACGCGGACAGGTGCTGAGTGCAATCCTGACGTGCGAGGGGAACTCGAGGTTATAGAAATCGTATCGCCATATAGACTCCCCGCGGTCCAAAACCGTAGTGAGAATGTCAGGTAGTGGATCCATGCGGCATGCTAGTTGTGCAACGGGGACAGGCGCTGGTGCTGGAAGACTATCACGGCCAGCAGCAAGGCGGGAGGGAGCAGGAATAGTAGATCCACTACTGTCGCTCCCACTGACATGGGAGAGCGTGGGCGTAGAGAGGGGGCATAGATCCCCCCCCCCAGGAGGGTCGAAACATAAATGGGGGTATGCAACGCGACCTGGCAAGACTGTAGCGATCAGCGCAGCACACACAAAGCCGAAAGCATCTCACCAATGGGAGAAGAAGGGATGCCTGAAGCCCGAGAGGAGACTGCCATACCAAAGTCTGGGCCGAGGTGTGCATGCTCGCGCAAGTCTGAGGTGATTCACTTCCACTCATACGATCATGATAGAGCACGTATGAGCAAAAAGTCCTATAACTCCTGGAGCTCGCATGGCGTGCTGTCGCCGCTGAGCTCAAGAGTTGGGCAGGGCATCGCGATGTCGTCGCTCGAATATTGAGTATTTGGGCAGGCGCCAAGAGGATGGCAGCCTGCAGGCACTAAGGAGGCCACGGTCCCATGTCCCCCAGAAGCGCCATAAGCTTGGGTCTCGAGCGACGACGGTAGCCGGCCCCTGTCTGCATGCGAGAGTGCACGCACAGCAGAGGGGCCAAAACAAAGATAAGATGCGCGATCAGTATCACGGTAACTGGTTCCCCCCCCGTCCTGCCAGCGCCAATCCCAATACCCTCGGAACCTTCATCTAGCCAGTGGGGGAAGGCGATTCGCCACATCAAAGTGAGAACGAGCAGGACGCTAGCCGCTACTGGACCCGAGCAGCTGCATCCTATGGACAGATCGGCTAAGTGGGATAGCGCTAGTGATTTGCCAAACCTGGAAAACTCTTGCATGGTAAACATAACCCTGGGAAATGCATGTTTCACCTTGCGCTGGTGGGCGGAGGCGGTGGGGCCATCGTGGTTGCCCAGCGCTGCTGCAACTACCGCTTCCCCCCCTGCTACGATCGTCATGCTGTTGACGAGGCGCGCCCGTAGGCGCGGCGTCAGAAACTGCTGCGCATTGCTGCTTGCATGACGCGCCAGTGCTGGGATGAGGAGGCGAGGCCTTGAGGATGGACCTCATGGGAACCTGAGGAAAGGAGGGAGGTGGAGGTGAGGATCTGACCCCTTCCACTTCAAAAAAGATTAGCTGCTGGCCGCCCCAACTCAGAACTCGTCGCTGTTGGTGCATGGCTCGACCCGAGCCTCCTTGCGTGGAGGGCTGGCCGTGTCCACGTCCTTCTCCGCGCAGGCCTTGTCGATCTCCTCGACCCTCGCCCTCACCTGCGAGGCTGCGAGAGGGCTTTCTGGCACTGGCTGAGCCGCTGCGCAACCACTGGAGCTGGCGCCCATGACCTTGCCTGGGCTCGTGATGGACTCCCTCGGGACCTCCATCAGCGGATCCTCCTGCGGCTCGTGTCACATCGGCTGAGTAGGTGAGATGTGATCCGTATATGCAACCTGCGTCGCTCCATTGTCGTCCACAACGCACACTGTCGGTGACTCCGCAACTGGTGTAGGGGCCACGGGTGTCGGAGCATCTGCTGGCTGAGGCGTTGGATGTTGAAATATTGGCGAAGGCTGAGCCGCTGGTACCGAGGTGGGCGAGTAGGCCCTGGAGCGGCACTGCGGCGTCTTCGGCGCGGCGGAGGCCCCAGCTTCGGTGGGCCCTGCCTCCATGGGGCCCCCCGCTGTAAAAACTCCCGCACTTGAACCACCACTGACATCTGTCCCCACACCGGTAGTCGGCACACCCGTAGCTGAACCTGTCTGCATCGCACCCATAGCTGAGCCCATGCCCATCACATGCTGAGCCATGTTGCATAGCACGTTGTCTGTCTCCTGCTGCTTGTTCATCATACCCTGCATGAGCTGGTGTAGGCTGCCCAACTGAGTGCTTGGAATGTCCCCGGTAGGAGGTGGCGGCACCTGTACTGGCTGAACTGGTCCTGCTGGCTGAGGTGGCTGTGGCCCAACTGGTTTGGGCTGCTTTGGCACTGCTGGAGGAAAGGGCTGTGCTGGCTGAACTGGTCCAGTGGTCTGCGGTGGCTGGGCTGCTCCTGGTCCCGAGCTGGCCGCGCCTGGAACTCCTTCTGCTGGGTGCCCTCCTGCAGGGTACTGTCTCATCTCAGCTGCCATCCTGATGTGCTCCTTCTCCGACTCCGAGTTGCGTGTGGTGTGAATCTCGTGCTGAACAGGGCCGCTTCGCGCAGCTGAGACTCCTGCTCCACTGCCAGCGGCATCTGCACTGATTCCCACGTCGTCGTCGGAGTCCTCGTTTTCTAGCTCCACAATGGCTGTGCGCACCTGGTCCAACTCCCTGTCGACTTGAACCAACTCTTCCTGCATATTCCATATATTCTCGTGTAGCTGTTTGGCACGATCTTGTACCTTATCTTTCTTCATCTTCAACTCGCTGGGCTGCGTGTGCTTTGATTCCGTGTTGGCCAACTTGTATTTCAAGACTGCGATCTCGAAAACAATCTCTGCCGTGCTTTTGCCGAGATCCTTGGTGGCAAGAGCCTGCTTACCAAACCCATACAGCCTCAGACGAATGCGCTCCTTGTAGGCCTTGATGTCTGGGATGTTGGACGGGTGGTGAAGCTCGTGGCTCAGCGTGGGATGCATCTCGGCGTCGGCGCGGGTGACAACAATGATCTTGCTATTGTACTGTTTGATCGACTCCTTTTCTTGCTTTCTAGGATCTGGCCTCGACCTGCTGGGAGCCCTGTCGGTGGGTTGACGGCGACGAACTCCAGCTCCTTCACGTACGAAGTGGGCTCCCTGACGAGGCTTCTCATGCTCGTTGGTACCGAACTTCTGCCCGCACAGACACGACCAATGGTGGCCCTTTACATACCTTCCGCGTCGTAGGCAATCCCATACAACTCCTGGCCCTGCGATGCGAGCCCCAACGTGTGGGCCCACAGGCCTGGCACCTCCTGGCCCTTGGGGCCTAGCTCCACCGAACATCGTGCTGTGATGAGCCCTGAGTAATGATCTGCTTTCCAACGCTCGTAGCAATAGACGCGCACGGGCACGTTTGAGACGTGCCCTCCTATGCCAAGATTTCTCGATAGTAGGAATTGTCCCAGGCTATGTCGCGGCAGTATCTCACACTGTAAATAGTGAAAGGAAACTATCAGTGAGTATCTGCCCGCCTGAGGAGGCAAGCCCGGATGGTCTCGGACACGAGACTCTCTGGCCTTCCAGATGCCAAAATGGTTCCGGGCCAGATGCCTTGAGCAAAAATGGCTTGAGCCAAAATGGCTACGGATCTCCTCTTCCTCCTTCTCCTCCTCCTCCTCCGCCTCCTAGGCCTCCTCGGCCTCATCCGCCTCCTCCGCCTCCTCCGCCTCTTCTTCTTCCTCCTCCTCCTCCTCTTCCTCCTCCTCCTCCTCTCCTCCGCCTCCTCATCCTCCTCCTCCTTCTCCTCCTCCTCCTCCTCCTCTCCTCCTCTCCTCCTCCTCTCGTTCCTCCTCCTCCTCCTCGTTCTCCTCCTCCTCCTCCTCCTCCTCCTCCTCCTCCTCCTCCTCCGCCTCCCCTCTCCTCTCCCCCAGCACGCTTCCCATGGAACTACCCCCGCACACCTTTCCATTTCCGTTTCCAATGTTCGGCCTTTCTGTTTCCAGTGCTTGGCCTTTCCGTTTCACAACGTTTCCCGGGTTGGGAACAACGTTTCCAGGGTTGGGGGAAAAGCGTTTCCAAGGTTGGCGGGTGCTCAGAGTTCTCAGGTTGGGACCTCGTTTCTCGGGTTGGGATTAAAACTCTTTTGAGCTGGCCGCTGCAGTGGCGACTACAGTGCGGGCGCCCTCGCAAGAAACCCTCGCAAGAAACCCAACCCTGCGAACCCGTGTGCGAAGTGGACCTGAGGGGTAGCCCAGAGCACCCTGAAAGCAGCAGCTCCTTCAATCGCTGCGGGAAGTCACCGCGCAGCGCGAGGAGCGAAGAAACCCAGGACACCCTGACGAAAAGCATATGGCTTCTTGATGCGAGCCCCCACTGTACACGATGGGCCCCACCCGGCGACCATTGGGCGATGAGCAGACACGGCGGGCGCGGACAAGATGGCTCCAGGATCGGCCCCCGACCCCTCCTGGACGCTGCCGTGGTAGACCTTTCGAGCTGGCCGCTGCCATGGTGACGATGGGCCCCCCAGGCGGCCAGTGTAGTTCCAGGATCGCACCCCGACCCCTCCCAGACGTCACCATGGTTGACCTTTCGAGCAGACTGGCGCCGTAGCCGTGGCGACGATGGGCCCCTCCCGGAGGTCATTGTACGAGGAGCCAGCTCGGAACGCGCTCGGGCAAGCAGGCGCTACCTCCTCCTTCCACACCGGACGCTTCTCCCCCCCCCCCCCACGGTGCGCTCAGGGCCCAAGCGGTCGAGCGATACCACCAAGCACGGCAAGGCCTCCTCCACGGCGCAGACTTCGCACGCCGAAGCTCCGACCCTTCGCGCCCGCAGCGCGGCCGCAGCCCGTCGCGCGCAGTGCAGTGCCGCCGCGCCTGGGTGCCTGGCGCTCCTCGGCGCCCGCGGGTGCCCGAGCGGCGAGGCAGAACCTGCCGGTCCGTCCGAGCGGTGCTCCTGCAGGCCACGAGGCCATGGCAGATGCCGCGGGCGCCGCCCTCACCTGCCGGTCACCGTGCTCTCGCGCTTGACCCCGCTCGCCTGCGCGGTCTGGTACCACTTCGCGGCGACGTCGGGGCTCTCAAGGTTCTCCAGGGCGACGTCCTCCAGCTGGACCTCTACGACCTGCTTGAGGTACACGGTAGTGATACTCGGATACGACGGGCTCTTGGACGCTTCAGTGCGCCTGGGGCCGAAGGTGGTCCTGGCGCTGGAGAAGGGGATGTCGAGCTCGGACAGCAGGCGACGTACAGCCCAGATGTGGTCCTCGAACGGCCGCACTTTGGTGGCCGGGAGGAGGTTGCGCTCTCGCTTCTGCGCTGTCCCAAAGCTATGCGCAGTCTCCACGAGCGCATGTCCAGAGGAGTTCTTGACTCTGACAATCAAGATTTCCAGGTACCGCCTCAGGTCACCAGGGCTGTCTGGCTTCTCGAAGAGCTGCGTCTCGCCCGAGTTGACCTCCGTGACAAGCTGCGCCAAAGTGCGGGCCTCGCCGACACCCCAAATGGTTGTCTGGATCCTGTGTTTGTTGAGGAGCTTCGTCAACGACTCCTCTTTCCACTCGCTCCCAGGGACCCGCTGGTAGCCTTCAAACTCGCTTTGCACGACGGGCTGCGCCTTCACCGGCAATCCCTGCTGTTGACACTTCTGTTGGTCCCACCACTCCCACTTGACCCGCGTGTTGTCCTGGCGAGTCGCCAGGAAAGCTAGAAAGCTAGAGCTGCCCCACCGCATCGAAAAGCCTAAGCCTACAAAACTGGGAGACGGGGAGTGTATCTGGACGAGGGAGCAGCTGGAGGAGAAAAGACGGGCAGCACGGGCGTTTCGTTCAGACCACCCCATCCTGTAGTGAGGTCTGGAATGGGCAGGAGCCTGGCATACCCACGCCCGCCAACTGGACCGTCGTGGCGTTGTCGTTGACCGTGGCGGTGAAGAAGAATTTGCGATAAACGCTCTCCAGGCCCGGATAAGACTGCGAGAAGGCCTTCTCTGTGATGACCTCGGACAGGATGTTGCCCCCCCAGTCCAGCTTCAGTATGTCCAGCGATGCGCTCATCTCGTACTCCAGCAGGCGCGCGATCTCCGCCTTAGCGCTCTCGCGACCCTTGCCTTTTGCACGGCACATCACGGCGGGAAACCTATTCACGTCGCGGCTTCGCCCGTCGGAGAACGTTTGATTGGCCTCCACTAAGTATTTTCCGTCCTTGGACTGTATGCGGACCACCACCAGGTCCACCATGCGGATGAGCTTGTCTCCCCGCAGTAACAAGCTGCACTCGTGCTGCTCCAACTCGTGCTTAATGTTTGCCACGGTCTTGGCCTGACCCACTCCCCACTTGCTCGTGTCGATGCGGTAAGTACGGAACAAATTCTCCAGCCACTCGATATTCGCCGGCTCCCCGACGACGGTGTCCCCCGACTCCATGCTAACACTATTATCCGAGATCGGGGTTGCCGCTTTGATGCACTGCGTCCGGATGTCTGGCACCTGCTTCTCGACACACCTCTCCTCGCTCCACCACTCGTAGGCGCGAGACTCGCCAACACGCTGGTTCGTGCTTGTCACCGCGCCTGTCGGCGGCGCCTCCATCTGCTGCTGCTTGAGGTCCATCGGCAACGCAGACTTGTCGCCCTGCGCGTGCCTTTCGGAGGCCATCTTCATTTTCTCGTTGAAGCGTTGGGCCTCTCCCCCGACAGCGCCCCCTTGGGCAGGCGCCTGGCGCGTGACCCCAAACCCTTTGGCGCCGTCCTCTGGTGCAGCACCACCACCAGCCTGCTCGTCCACTGTGTCGTCGGCCACCTGTGCCGCCGCGGCGATGCTGCTCTTGTGCTTTTGGCACTCGCGAATGATCCACTGGTTCTCCAGAGCTGCCAACGGCTTGCTACGCTGTTGTGGACTCTTGTGAAGAAGACCCTGGATGATAGCAAACTGGTCGGCATTCATCCTCTCATGTCTTCGGAGCTGCTTCGTGAAGCGGTCCTGCATGGTGGCGAATGGGAACTTGGAAGTTATCATGCACCAAAAAATGACGCCTACAGCCCACACGTCCACCTTGAGAAACAAAACGATACCGATAGTGTTGCTCTCCGAACCTCTCCCGTGGTGTGTTCTGACTGGAATTTCGAGACGAATCCAGCCGTGGCGATGCGGGTCCTCCAGGAAGCCCAAAGAGGCGAAAACGAGGTACGTAAAGACATAGGTATCGGTATGTTCTCTCCAGAGGCCTTGTGCGCGTACGAGCGCGTAATCAGCTCTGGGGCCCAGTATTCTCTGGTGCCCACGATCTCCTTGAGGAACACGCCCTCCTCTAGATGGCGCGCCGTGCTAAGGTCTGTCAAGACGACCTTGAAATCCTTCCCCTTAAACTCGAGGTCGTCTACGAGGTAATTATCTGCCTTCACGTCCCGATGGTAGAGGACCCGAAGTCGGCACAACAAGAAGCTCTCGGAGGTTAGCGCGGATTTCTCGGGCCCCCAGGAGCGTCCCGCGCGCCAGAGAAGGGGTGTGGTGAAGGGGATCCAGAACCGACCAGAGACATCCACGCGGACCTCCGACAATCATGATCATGCTGCTTCCGGCCTTCTAGATGGACAATCATCATCCCGTGCATGTAGGCAATCGACTCCAACATCTGCCTCAAGATCTCCGCGAGCACCGGGCCTGAAATGCCCCTGGGACTCCTCTTGAGAAGCGGGAGCAATGCGTTGATGAGGCTCGACTTGTATTTATCCATCACGAAATATACGAAATAATCGTCCACAAATACCCCGACCATCCTGACAAGCTGAGGATGGCTGACCGCCTTTAGCATTTTGAACTCTTGAACGAACATCTTCCACTGCGCGTCCTGGGACGATGACAGCCGACCCCACCAGCTACTCTGATGTTCCATCATCTTGACGGCGTAGGTGGTCTTGTCGCCCTGCTTCTTTCTGCACTCGTAAACGGTGCCGAAAGCACCGCTCCCGAGCCTGCTGCCGACCACATAGACGTCGCGGAAGTCAACATCTTTCCCCTCCTTTTGGCATGAGGAAGGCGGGCCCTGAAGGAAGCGGGTGAGACCCTGGGGCTTCCTCCGGGGCCGTCTTCCACCCCGATGGTCCCTGGAGTGACCGTGGACGCCGGGGGTGCTCAAGATTGTAGAAGCGATGACGGTGGTCCAGCGAGCCTGACGGCCCCAGGTCCTGGAAGGGGGCCCCAGGAGGCCGAGAACGGCGACGAACCTCAGGACCCCTTTGTGTCACGACCTCGTGGGCGGGAAATGCATGCATATCCATGGCCTGACGCTCTGGATCCGTCGGCCGCGACACCACGGATACAGGGCGGCATTGTGCGGATGACCCGCGCAGAGCGCATCCATGGTTTCGCGCCTCGGGTTCCAGATCGCGACGGCATGGATTTGGACACGTGCGTCAGTCGCGAAGCACTCCATCGTCCCTTCATGCGGCGGCTCCTTCAGGAGCGCCGCTTTTCCAGCGGGCTGCCCCATGGAGCTGACGCACCCCATGGCCGCCGAGGCCCTGCAGGGCGCCGCGCCCCTGTCGCGTGGGAGGTTGCTGGGCGCCTGTCTGACCCAGGATCTGGCACTCCTGGCGGCCTTGCTCCCCGAGGCTCCGCTGCGGAAGCGAGCGCGAGCCGAGAGGAGGAAGGGAAGGAGGAGGGGAGGAGAAGGAGGAGGAGGAGGAGGAGGAGAAGGAGGAGGAGGAGCAGGATGACGAGGAGGACGAGGAGGAGGAGGAAGAGCAGGAGGAGGACCATCAAGAGAAAGAACACGAGAGAAATACAACGAGGGGACACCACAACAAGTCTGGCCAGGCGAAAACACGCCAGTCCTAGGAAGCGACCTGGGCTCACGCTCGGGCCCCTCCACGTGGATGTGCAAGCGTAGCAAGCAAACAGGTCTTGGAAAGCCGCAAATATACTTGATTAAAACAACACCAAAGATGACGGCAATCAGTATTGTCAGTACCGTATATATTGACTCGAGTTCTGTAAAGCTAGCGCGACGCGAACGCTACACATAAACACCTACATACATATGTATGTATGTATGTATGTATGTATGCATGTGTAGATGTTTGCACATGGCTACTCTACACACGCACATATATATATATGTATGTTTGTACATATACATGCATACGTACATACGGGCACACGCACATTCGTTCATACATATATACTTACATGCATGCATGCATGCATCCATACCCACAAGCATACATACATCCATGCACATACCTACATATATACATCCATACATGAATACATGCGTACGTACATACATACACACATGCTCACATACACACATGTACATACATACACACACAAACACGTACATACATACAAACATACACACATACACACGTACATACATACATAAGTATAGTCACCCATGCATGCATACATGCATATTTACACGGACACATACAGACACACATACATGTATACATACAGACAGACTGACTGACACACATGCAAACATACATTCATCCGTGTATATATATACATATACATACATACACACATACATACATACATGCATGCATGCACGCATGCATGCAACCATATATACATGCAGTCATGCACAGATGCATGCATACATACATGCATACATGCGCACATCGTTTCTCTGCACGTGTCCACGCCAATGGTCCTATAGCTCGGTTTCCCCTTTCCATGCGGGACGCCACGGATGCCGCCCGAAGGCCCCCAACCCCACAACTGTGCCAGGCCAAAAACGCCCTAGACCCCTGGACCCGCCAACCGAGATCTGAGTGCAGGGGCACGCGCCAGCCTACCCCGGCTCCCCGCGGAGGCAGACGCCGAGCGAGACACGCTCCGCCGACCTCAACGATCTGAGTGCAGGGCCCCGCAACGACGATCAGACGGCCCAGGGGGAAGCGTTTCAGTACCCAGGGCCGAACGGCCCCTGGCCCGCGGCACCGCGAAACAGGGGAAGCACGCTATACCAACTACCCCCCTTGTGGTTTGCTAGCCGTGAGAATGCGATTAAACTTTCCACCTTCCCATATTGCCGCAACCGCGGCGACGCGTTAGGTATTGAGAACCCACAAACATGCACTCAGATGTCCCTGGGATGTCTTTGGGTAGTCTCATGAGGTCACAGGGCATAAATACCTAACAAATGGTTTCAAAATGTATTTGCGATGCTTGCATTCTCTACGCCAGACTTGCGCGCGCCCTAGAACTGTCGGCCCCGAGAGACGGAGCGGCGCCAGACATTCCAAGCACGGCGGGGCGCCGCCAGACATCCCGAACGTCGGGCCTCGAGGAACCAAGAGAAAGTCAGACGAGGAACGAACCGTGCCAGACAAGATGACACACAGACAACTGGGGCGTTAACGAGCGCCCCTGCGGACCCCATATCAAAGCTCCGCGCAACCCCTGAAACATCCACCTCGTCGCCGCCACGCACCGCAGAGGCGCGGCGCTGGGAAAGAGGTCAAGGGACAGGAATGGACAGATGACATGGGGGGGCAGGGCGCGAGGGCTGCGGGATGGGAGGGCATGGAAGGGGCAGGAATGGCGGGGGCAGGGTGCGGAGGGGAGAAGAGAGGGCGGGGATGGACAAAGGAGGCGGCAATAATAAGGGGGTAGGTGGCAACCAACCAGACATTTAGAGCGTGAGTGGTCTAAGGAGCTCTGTGTTCTGGCCCTAACCCCCGTCTTCCCCTTCGGGAAGGGCCCCCCTTCTCCCCTTCCCCCCCCTGGGTCTGGAGAGGGAGTTCCACGCGGCGTCGGAAGATCCAGGACGGCCGAGGATGGCCCCAAGAGGGCCTCGAGGAACCCAAGATGACATCCGAGGCCGCCCAGAGAAGCCCACGATAACTCATTGTGGCATCCACCATGGCCCCCAAAGCCCTCGAGGCCGTTCTAAAGCGATGCCAAATTGGCAGGAGACCTCGAGTCTGCCCCCAAGAGGGGTCCACGATGGCCCCAGCAAGGTTCCAAGACACTCCCAGAGCGAAAGATTTGTAAAGGCCGTGGTAGTTGACAACTGTTGTCGTCGGCGTCGCCGCCGTCGCACTCATATTATTGTTCGTCGTCGTGTCCTCCTTCCTCCCCCGTCCATTTCCTCATCCTGATCCTCCTCCCCCCCGCCCTCATCCGCTTCCTCCGTCCTCCTCCTCGTCCTCCGGATCCCCCCCTCCATCGCGCCCCATCCGTGACTGCTCCAGCACCTCCTCCGCTTGCACCCCTCGCCTTTCCAGAGGCAACGGTCGCCTGGGCATCGGCTCTGCATGGACTGGCGGGGGTGCGCGAAGCGTCCAGGATCGAGGGGGGCAAAGGGGGCACATTATCTAGATGACCTCCACTTTGGACGCGATGGATACGTCGGGGCAAGGTTCTCTCTCGCGCGCCTGCACGCGCACGCCCAACTTCCACGAGGGCGCCGCTGTCCGACGAGCTGGCGCGGGCAAACAAGAGCGTCCGAGGAGGACGAGGATGTGTTCACTTATGTATGCGATTATGCTTGTGCCTAATGCTACATACATGTGCGATTATCCGCCACCGTGCCGCGAGGCGCGAGTGGAGTTTCCCCCAAGGTACCCCAACGGTTTCCTGTCTTGATTTCTGCATTCTAGTATTCTATGGGGCTCGGGCCTAAAAATTCCAAAGCTTCTGGGCGTTATTGCGCGCTACTGCGTGCTCTTGGATTCGGTCGCGTGGATTTTTCCAAGAGGCCAGAGGGCCCCAAGACGGGCCAAGAGGGCCCCAATAAGCGCCCAAGAGGGCCCAAGAGGCCCCCAAGACGGCCCAAGAGCGCTCCAAGACTCCCAAAAAGGCCCCAAGACGGCCCATGAGGCCCCCAAGAGGCCCCAAGAGCGCCCCAAGAGGCATCACAAGAGGGCTCCACGAGGCCAAACGTATTTATTGATTTGTGGTGTTCAATGTTTTTTTCTGGTTATCGCCTCGTCGTGCTTCCGACGCTCCAAGACGGACCGCGATGCCCGAAATATTGCCACAGGACGGCCCAAGAGGCCCCCAGGAGGGCCCCAACACGGTCCAAGAGGGCTCCATAATGGCCCAAGAGGCGCCCAAGATTGCCCAAGAGGGCCCCAAGACGGCCCCAAGAGGGGCCCAAGGGGGGAAACACTGACCGACAATTCGAACCTTCTGCCCCAAGAGGCCACCAGGACGCCCCAAGAGGCCCCCAAGAGAGCCCACGAGGCCACCCAGAGGCCCCACGAGGCACCCAAGAGGCGCAAAACGAGCCCCCACGAAGCACACAAAAGGCCCCCAAGAGGCTTCAAACTTGCTTCCAATAGGCGCCCGAACGGCCTCCCACAATATGCCAGAGAACATCCAAGAGGCCTCTAGACCCTAAAGCCAACAACCCAGGCACGGTGGCGGGATGGGCCGCAGGCCACTAGCTATGTTAGAGGTGCGCATGGTGTGACTGTTCTCGAGTTGGCCTGCTGCTCGAGGGAGGGGGACGCACGAGGCCTCAGCGCCCTAGCCCAGTTTCTGCATCCTCAAGCCAGCGCGGTAGATTGCGAGCACCGCGGGGTGCAACATTTTCGCAGACTGGTAGCTGTGTTTCGTGAGCTGGCCCTGGATCTTGATCATCGCCTCCCGCTTGGCGAAGGGGCCGGCGTGCTTCGCGCCAGCCCCCAGGATGCTCTTCGTGAAGAAGCGCTCCAGGGCCAACTCCACCGAGGTGGCCGCATGTGCGGTCAGCTCCTTGTCCACGGCGAGCTTGCTCGCCTGCACGTACCCGACGTAGTCGAGCTTCTCCTGGGAAATCACAACCGCGGGTTCCGCCACCAGGCAGCGGAGCGCGACGTGGCGTTTCTTTCGGCCAACGTGTTCCCTGCTATCTGTAGTGGAGACTGCCGCACCGTAGCACGATAAAGACAGGGACCCCACGTCCTCAAATTGCTTGGACACAGTCGCGCGCTGCTGGGCTCCATCGCGCGGGCCCTCGGGGTCCCCGAGGGCCTAAAGACGGGCCGAGGCGGCCCCGAGGAGCGCAGATGAAGGGGCCCCGAGGAATCCAAGACGGCCTAAGAGCGCTCCAAGACACCCAAGATGGCCCCATGACGACCCACGAAGCCCCCAGGATGCCCCAGGCGCGCCCGAAGTGGGCCCCCAAGAGGGCCCCAAGAGGCCAAACTCTTCGATGTCTGGTTTGTTTCCAATTGTTTGTTTTCCATTATCGCCTTCTCGGGCATAAGGTACTGGAAGGTCGCCCACGAGGCTTCCAACATCGCGCCATGACGGCGTAAGAGGCTCCCACGGCGGCCCAAGAGGGCCCCAAGACGGCCCAATCGGTGCCCAAGATCGTTCAGAAGGCACACAGAGAGGGGCCCCAAGAGGCCGAGGGGGGGCACAAACGGTCTTCTTATGACGCCCACCCCAAGGTGCATCTAAGAGCCTCTCCCCAGAGCCCCCCAGGGCGCCCCAACGAGGCCCCCAAGAGGCACCTACGAAGCCTTCAAGGGGCACCGAGAAGCTTACCAGAAACCCCGAAGAGCCTTCGAAGGGCCCCCCAAGAAGCATTCCACAATTCACCCATATGCATCCAACAGGCCCCTAAACCACAACCCAGACACGGTGGCGGGATGGGCCTGAGCCGTTTCATAAGCACACGAACGTTGACGCGTTTCAAGCCGTCTCGGGCCTTGTCACATGACAGTGTCTACCAGGCATGGCCCGAGTGCCCTGCACAAGTCCACATGCGGCGTGCCTACAAGGGTTCTTGTCCCATTCAGAGAGGTTGCGAGCGACGCCCCATGCAACGACGCGTGCACAGTGTATCCAAGAATGCACCCCGTGGAAGTCTCCCGAATAAGTGTGCGGGCGCGGGTGAGGGGACCTTGCAATGCTGCTAAACTAGAGATCCAGAGCAATACATACACCTCGGTTGTCATTGACAACTTTGCCTTGCCCCTTTCTAAGCGCAGCCCGCCCCAACTGAACCGCTCCATCGACGAGGCCGCGGCGGGCCTCGTGGGCGGACGCGGTCGACATGAATGGGCCTTGGTTTGCGCGCCAGCCCTCGAGCATGACATTTGATTGACGCGGGCCATCCTACACTGAGTTGGGGGAGTACGCTGCTCTCAAGGGGGAGGGTGTTCACCTGGACCTCACGGTGTGTCTTAAAGGTTCGACCGCATGGCGCTATGTTGATGTACAGTTGAAGCCCCGCCAGCCCCTTCAGGGAATTCAGCTCGAAAACTTCTTCGCCCCCCCCCCCCCCTGCCGCCCCTCTTCGGTGAAGGGTTTACCCCCGCCCTACCCCCGCCCTCTGGACCTGGACTGGCGGGGGGCGGGGTGGGGCGGGGTGGGGGCGGGGGTGGGGTGGGGGGGGGGAGGGGGGGGGGGGGGGGGGGGGGGGGGGGGGGGGGGCAAGGCGTCGAGCATCCAAGATGGCCCATTGCTCCAAGAGGGCCTCAGAGAGCCCAAGATGTCCTCCAAGGTGGCTCAAGATCCAAGACGCATCCAGATGACCCCCAAGAGGCACCCAGATGACCCTAGACCGCCCCAAGACAACTATAAGTGGCCGAAGAGACCCCCAAGGAGATCCTCAAGAAGCCAAACCTTCAGAACACCCAAAGGACATCAATGTGGTTGTTTTGCTTCGTCGCCCATTCGTTCCCGATGGTCATCCGAGGCCCCAAGATGGCTCCAAGACCGCCCACAAGGACCCCAAGATGGCCCCAAAAGAGCTCCAAGACGGCCCTGAGGGCGCCCAGGAGCGCCCCACCAAGAGCGCCCCAGGAGCGCCCCACGAGACTATGTTTGAGGTTCCCGAGGAGGAGGGGGGGGGGGGGGCTGATTAGGGAGCACACATTCGTTGATCGATCTCCTCCGAGATGACCTCAGGAGCGCCCCTGAGGCCCCCAAGAGCACCTCAAGAGGGCTTCAACTGCCCCACGAGGCGCCCAAGACGCCTCCACGAAGCCCCCAAGGGACCCTTCGAGGGGCCCCAAGGAGACCCCCGAGGCACCCCAAGGCGCTCAAAGACTCCACATGGGCCCGCCAAGAGGCTTCGAGGGCCCACCAGAAATCCCCCGAGAGACATCAGTAGAGCACCCGAGAGGCATTCAAACAGGCTGGTGGCTCTCCTGTTCGCCCGATTCCCCCTCTTCCTCCTCCCCCGTCGTAACCCCCCTTGTCCTCCTCACCTCCCCCTCCTCCTCATCCGCCCGTTATGGCGCGTCACTTCCCCCCCCTCCCCCTTCCCCCCCCCACCCCGCCTCGTCCTCATCCTCATTCTTCTCCTCCTCCTCGCACCCTCGAACGATAACGGCTGCACCCCCCTCCCCCCCCCCCCCCACCCCCCCCCCCCCCCCCCCCCCTCCTTGATCCAACGCTTCCTTGGACGTTTCAATTCGCTTGGGCGTCGGTTTTGGATGGGCTGGCGAAGGTACGCGAGTCGTCAAACATCGGGCTGCATTGAAAACGAACCGTGTGATATCCAACGCGCGCGGTCTCGCGTTCGCTCGGCTACGCTGGGCACGGGACCGTCGCTCCATGCACGTTTCGTGGCGCGCAGGCTCACGCCAGGGAACGTTTCCCCACCCCCCAGCGGGCTGCATTGGACTAGCTAGCTTCGGATCGTGGCCGCCCAGATGGACATACTAAACCCCAACACATGTCACATGAGCAGTGCCGATATAGGGCGTGGCGATGGGCGGATGGGGATAGTGCGACAAGAGGTGCGGGTGGAGGGCAGAGCAGGAAGACGGGAAATACATGGGGTGGCAACGCAGGTGCAGGGATTGACGGAGGGAGAACGAGAGAGAGAGAGAGATAGAGAGAGAGCGAGAGAGGGCGGGGAGGAGGGATTGGGGTGGGAGGGCGAGGGGGAGAAGGAGGAGCAGTCAACCCACCAAATGTCAAGCGGGGGTCCGTGACCAGCTGCTGGATCATGCCATCCCACGTGTCCGACTTCAGGGTGATGAGGTTCTCGCACGGGGGGGGGGGGGCCTGACTTGCGCCGCGGTGGGCGCGTCCTTGAGCCACTCCATGAACTTGGAAATGGCGGCGTTCTCGGAGATGTCGGTCTTGACCTGGATGGTGAGCTTCGCCAAGGACCCCGCCCGCTTCTCAACGCATGAGCCCCTCCAAGAGAGGACCTGGTCCTCGATGTGATCGAAGTAAGTAACCAAACGCTTCCAATACGGCTCTGGGCTCTCAGAGGTCCAGCCCGAAACAGCGGCCAACTTACGGAACTCCAGGAGGTGTCGCGAGCACGTCGCGATGGCAGTAGACACCTCTCCCTGGGACACCTTGTCTAGTTTGCCCATCTTGCAAGTGATGATCTTAGCGCTGTCGTCGCACTCCCGAGCCATCTGCCAGGTCTTGGATGCGTTGTCGACGGCAGCTTTGTCCTCTTTGGCCACGAGCTTCTCGAGGGCTGCCAGCACCTTGGCGACCTTGGCCTTGTCCGCTTCGGAGTCTAATGCTTCGGGGCCGCCCATGGTCTTCAAGACGTTGGCGAAAGCATCCTTGGCCGCGCTGGGGACCCTGCTCTCAGGCGCAAGGCGCAGCGCCGATGCAGCCTCAATCGAACCAATCTCGGAGTCGATCTGCTTCCAGTCGGCAGCCACGCTCTGTAAAGATATAATGTGTGAAGCCTCGGTCGTGACTGAAGATAGCCTCGCCTTCTCAGCCGAGATGCGCTGGGAGAGCCGTCGGAACTCGTCCTTCATGGACATCGCCTCCGTAGCGCCCCGCACGACCTTCAGGTACGCATCCACCAAGCCCGCCTGCTCTTCCAATCACCCCTCAGACTTGGACTCGATCGGCTCCTTCTGAACCAGTTCAAGTAATGCCTCAGCGCTGGAGTTGATCTTATGGCAGAGCGCAGCTTCGAAACACTCCGTGGCCTGAGGGCCCGCTAACTTCGTGAAGTAAGGAACTTCTGGCATAATATCATCAACCTTGCTGCAGAACTCCATCGAGGGCGTGATATCCAGAGAAGTGGTCTTACCGATCTTCTCCGAGATGCCTGGGGCGTAATGCTTGAGAACCTTCGCGCGCTTAAGTCCCAAAGAGAACTTGGAGGCCCAGGGCTCTGCTTTCGAAAGCGCCTGCCCGACAATGCCGAACACGCTCTCCCTGTCTGTCAGATGCGACGCCGCCAAGACCTCCTCCATATCTGCGAACACGTCCATGTCCGTTGCCGCGCTGACCGTGTCCGCGTTGGCCGCCACGGCTTCCACCACGTCGAAAACTTTGAGGACCATGGACAAGGCCATGGCCGAGGAGCGGCCGAGGTCTGCATCCTCCTCTGGAATGACCAGCAGCGCCTTGGAGATGCGAATGTAATCCAAGACGACCCTCTGATATGCCTGACCTTTCTCAGCCCACGCCACGAGCCTGTCCGTGATGGCGAAGTTGATGAAGAGATCGGCCCGTATAGGATCTGAGATGCAGCACTTGCCGAGCGTCGGCCGCTGAGCATCGAACTTGATCGTGTCAGCGCCCGTACGCCAGGGCAAGTAAAGCCCAATCCCATCGGAGAGCGTGCCACTGCAATCGGACGTTGCGCCGGCCTTGATAATTTCATCGATCTTCATCACGTTGCCCTTCAACTCCCACGACAAGAGGTCGACCTGCGTCTCGGGCGGCCAGCTGACCCCAGCGCCATCGAGCGTGGCCACCACCAGGTCACGCCTCGCCCTCGTGAGCTTCTGCTGGGTGCAATTGACCTTCCACAGCTCAATGGCAAGCTTGAGATGCTCCTCGTGCTTGCTGATGTTGCTAGCCTCTGCTCCGCAAACCTTCCTCTTGATGATGCCGAGCTGGTTCAGCTCCCGTTTCATCTCCTCGCCGAGCAGGGCATGCCGCAATGGGCTCCTCTGGATCCAGTGAAGCGCCGTCCCGAGCGGGCTCTCCACCTCATGCTGTTGGATTTTCCTAGGCGTCGGTCGGCTGTGGAATATGCTCACCTCGTCTGTGCAGGCCTCCCGCGTAGGGCTCGGCTGGGGGAGCGGTGGTTCGGAGCCCTTGCAAGGCGTCGCATCGCAAAATATGACAGCCGAGCTGGAGGACGCTCCAGCTCCAGTCGAAGGGGCCTCCATTGCTGGCCCATCCTCGATCGCCGACCTCCGATCGCCAGGTTCAGGAGTGCCCTCAGCGGCCGTGGTGCCAGCGCCCTCAGTGCAACTCTCCCCCAGCAAGAATGTGGACGTCCTCCTCAAGCCAGCTGCTGCAGCGCCAACCACCTTCGCCGCCTTCTTCTCGGCCTCCTCTTTGATCATCTTGACCGCCTGCGCCTTCAGCTCGTCGATGGTCGGCTGCGAGTAGCTGCATTTGTCGATGCCCTGCTGCGCAAACATCTTCTTCACGACGTGGTCTAGGATGTCCTCGGGCTGGTTCCTATACACGTGCGGGGCATTCGTCGGAATCCGCTGGGCCTGCGACTGAGCGCTCCCCTGGCTGAACACGCGCAGCTGGAGAGGGGGCCTGTCCGTCGGCGGCACTGGGTAGAGCACCTCCGCCTTCTGGTCGTGCAGCCTCCTGGCGATGCCGTTGATCTCGAGCTGCTTCGGCGTCTCCCCAATAACATGCAGCACCTCGCTCCAGGACATCAAATCGTACAACTCTTCAATGCGCCAGCCTTTCTCGGAAACCTCCGAAACCGTGAAAGGAGGACCCGCCGACTGCTCGGCCGTGGCCTGCATGCCATGGTCGATCTGCAAGGCGAACTCCTCGCACCCCTTCTTCTCGATGATCAGGCTCAGGGTCGTGCGAAGCGGAAGGTGGGCCCTGCGCCAGTCCTTGGAGTCGTCGCAGGCCCAGATGTCGTCAACGTTCTCAATGCCATTGATGGCGCCCTGGTCTTCGGGCACGCTGAGCCTGTGGAACTCCACTGCTTTGTCCTGGGGGGCTGGGTGGCGAGGACACCGATGAAGTGACTAGTAACTAGTACGCCGTCGCCGTCAGTACTCGTCGTCGTCGCCGTCGACGTCAACGACGCCGACCACGTCGCCGATGGCGACGTCACGCGTCGAGGGCGTTGTCGACGTCGCCGCCGTCGTCGCCACCATTGTCGCCGCCGCATCCGTAGTCATCGCCACCGCCGTCGTCATCATCGTCGTAGTTTTCGACCACCGTCGGCATCGTCGTCGCGGCCGTCGTCGTCGCCGACGGCGGCGGCGTCATTGTCCGACTGTCATGGTCGTCGGCCGTCGTCCGTCGCCGTTCGTCGTCGTCGTCATCAGCGCCGCCGTCGTCGACGGCGACGTCGTCTGTCGTTGCCGCCCTCAGTCGCCCGTCGTCGACGGCGCCACTGTCCGTCGTCGCCGTCCTCCGTCATCGATCGTCGTCGTTCGCCGTTGTCGCCGTCCGTCGCCGCCCCGCCCCCACGTGTCCTCCTTGTTGTTCTGGTCGCACATCGCGCAGCAGATGGGCACCGAGCGGCTCCTCTCCTTGCGGACGGCCAGCGTCTCCTCGAACTCGTAATCGATGATCTCAGCGTCGGGGCGCAACTGTGCGGGGACGTCCTCTGCCAACTTGACTCGTGCGGCCAAACGGCTCCTCCTCGGCCGCTTCGCGGAAGGTGCAGGCGCATCGGCATTGGCGGCAGCGCCCGCGCCTGCAGGTCCTGCTGACGGCTCGCGCTTGGACATGGCAGCCGCAACCTGCGCTGGCGAGCCCAATGGAGGCCAGAATGGGCGCGGCGGTGCACTGCCGCTCGAGCCATTGGGCTCTGGTGTGGCAAGACCACGTCGGCAATGCCCCGCGTCGTCGGGGCGAGGAGGGAGGAATAAGGACTAAGGGTGGGGGCGCTGGGCGGGGGCGGAGATAGGGGGGAGTAGGACAGAGGAGGAGGGCGAGAAGGATACTAGTGATGAAGCGGGAAGGGGCGACTGTGGTAGAAGGTATTGGACGGATGCGCTGGAGTCGCTCGAGCAGAGGGTGGCAAGGGGTTCAGGAGAGGAGGGGGTTGAGGAATGAAATACTAGAGGGGCATGTTGCGGGGGGAGGCACGGGCGGGGATGGATACGACATCGGCGGGAATGTTGGAGGAGGCCGAACCGCGCCAGCCTTTCGGGCGGGAGCGGACTGAGCTCGGAATGATAACACGAACCTCATTCTTCCCCTTCGGGAAGGGGGGCGCGGTTCCCCCGACCCCCCCCCCCCCCCCCCCTGGGTCTGTGAAGGCGGCGTTTTTTTTGTTCAAGCGAGGCGTCGGAAGCGCCCGATCGCCCGAAACTCGCGCCGAAATGGTCTCGGATGGCCCAAGCAGGGCCGCAAGGGGGTTGACATTGCCTCCAACATGCACCCCAAGAGCCCTCATGGTTCAAGATGGCGCCCAACACGTTCCAAAGAGCCCTCGGGACTCAAGACAGCTACAAGGCGGATTCGAGCGGCTGCGGATCATCCCATGGAAGCCCCCACAATGACCAGTACTTTTAAATACCTAGCGTAGTTTGGTTTGGCTGACCTTCTCACCCTTTCGCTTGCGATGGGCTCTGGCTTCTAGGTGGCGCCAAGATGTCCCAGGTGGTGGTCCTGGGGCTTCCCTGGGGGCCTCATTGGGAGCCCTATGAAGCCCTATTGGGGGTGAGGGGCCTTGGGGCTCCTTAAAAATCTAGGGCGCCCTCCGTTAAGCCATCTTGTGGCGCTGTTGCCTTCCCCCGCTCGCGGGGATACTCCTGGGCGTATGAGGTTACGCAGGCTGCTGCAGTGCATGCTGCTACACTTTCCTGATGAAGACATCTTGCCAATACATCTTCCCTGGATGCCCTGGGTGAGCTGGTGGGGATACGCGAGGCGTTCAGAATTTACAGAGCCCCAGTCCAGTCCAGCCCTCATGATGCTGCCCCTCATCCTCGCCCACCTCCCATCACCATCCCAATCCACATCCTCGCCCTCCTCCCCCCCGCTGCTCCTTCTCCACCGCGACACCACCCGCAACGCACGCACGCGCGCACGCCCCTGCTCGTCCTCACAACCCACGTCCTCATGTTTCCCAGCCTACTCCTCGACCCCCTCATTGCTCCAATCATCATTGTCCTCCTCATCGTCGCCCTCCTCATCCTCGTCGCACGCGCCCCTGTCCTCCCTTGCCCCCGTCGCCCCCGCCAGTGTCCTCGCCGCCCAGTTCCTGCTACTGATGCCCCTCCTCTGCGCCCTCATCCTCGCCAGCGCCCTGGCCCGCGTCGGCATCATCGCCATCCTGCCTTCTCTGCCCCCTTCTCTCTACACCTCTTGTCCTCCCTATCAGGAACCTCTCCTGCTCCTCCTCGACCTCCTCCACCTCATTGCCAACCCTGCCAATCCTCATCCTCATCGCCCTGGCCACCCTCGCCCAGCGCACCGCCCCCAATCGTGGGGGTGCTTTCGGAACGGTGACCGCCTGCGCAGCAGGTAGGGTAGGGCGGCGCACGAGGCAGAGGAGGTGCAACGATTCTGCTGCGCGCCAGCGGGAACACCCAACGACTGCCATCACGCGCGCTGTAAAAAACCAGCGCAATTCACGAATCAGCCCTCTGATGGCGTCGCCGACGGCGTGGTGCCGACGGCAGCGCAGTTACTCTTCGGCGACACCAGGCGCATGCCGAGGCTGAGCATTGAACAAAACTTTCTCGTCAACACGCGTTCCCATCCTGCGCCGTCACCCCGCCCTGCCCCTCCGCCTCCTCATCATACCTCGGCCTCCCCCCATCCCATTCCACATCTCACCTGCTCATCCCCGCCCCCCCCCTCCCGCCCTCGGCGCCCGCGCTCGCGGGGTGCTGACATTGCAAGGCAATTCAACAAAAAAACCAAGCGATGAAAGGCACGCGCAAGCAGGAGTAGCATGATCCTACTACTCTGGGGTCTGAGGGGCCACGGTGAGCGCACCTACGATTGTCGGAGCGGCGACGCGCACAGCGGCGCCCGCAGCGGCGGGCCTGCGCATCTGCGGGGGCTGCGGCCTCGGGGCACGGCCAGCGGCGGCGGCGACGCCGCCAGCACCAGCGCCGCCCTCGTCCAACCTACGGTTGGCATAGCGGCTGGCTTTGTTACACGCGGCACGCATCCTCTTGATAGTGAGCACCTTGGCCCTGTTCTCTCTCCTCAGCTGCAGGGCAAGAGCCCTCCAAGAAGCCACCTTCGCACGGAGCCGGCTGACCTGGGTGACAGTCGGGGCCTGCTTCGGCGCCATTGCGCCTCGGTAGAATATATAGGAATATAAGGACCGACCTAGAATGCACGAGAACGCGCGAGACCACAGGAATACCCGGGCACGGAACCAACTCAGGCCAAAACGGCTACACACGGAGGGGTGGGACGTGGTGGGGCTGGGCATGCCTATGGACAGATGCGCCCATGGGACGGCAGGAATGGGGGAGGGGATGCGCTTATGCCAAATGTAACCCATCTGCGCATTGGGGGGCGAATGTGGCATGATCTGTTTGTCTATGTATGTGAACATGTAATGGCATACTGCCTCAACATCCAAATGGCGCGCGCCCGTGTGCTGAAGAGGCAATGAACAGGGGGCAACTGCAACGGCGCACGTTGGACATCGGCCGTGCCTAAGCACGCGGCGATCGAGGTTTCGAAAAGGAATCGCCATCCATCCGCGCACATATTGCAGATGGTTTTGAAAAAGAATCGCCATCCATCCGCGCACATATTGCAGATGGTTTCAGAAGGATGCCCGCGCGCCTGAAACATCCTCGAAAGACGGCACTGAGGGTCAACAAAAGCTACTATGAGTCAGCTTGGCGAGCAAGCTCGCCGTGTGAATAAGTCTGGGCGGCGTAAACCATTTGAATCAGTTTGGCGAGCAAGCTCGCCATTTGAAGAAGCCTGAGCGCCACCGAAGAAGATATTCACAACTGCGGTGTTCACAATTGCATATGGTTGGGTCCTTCGCCAGGCTAATGTTTTTCTTTCTGCATTGCATAGCGCAGTGCGCCATGCGCTCCAATCTTCACAGCGAGGCTCGCCCTCCCTGTCAGGAGGACTAATCGCTCTCCCTAGGAGGGTTATCCCACGGGAGAGCTCCGAATGCACACAGTGTCCCCCCAGGGCCAGGGGAAAGCAATATCGGATCGCGCAAGTGCGGGGCGACCCCGAGGTCACGTGCGGCACGAGCAGATGAGCCGCTGTCGGGGAAAAATGCCCGCTGCGCCCCCTCTTATACAACATTGAAATCGGCTGCCGACGATGCGTATCGCCATATGCAAACGTAGTCCGACCACCAACTCGGTGCATAAACTCAGATGTGTCGACGCACAGTCCGATGCAGAGTCCGATGTACCGATGTATCGCGATACATGTCCGATGCGTCGCGCGCCGCATCACGGGGGGGCAGGCGCCGCGTCATTGCATCTGCTGGTAGGGCGCCGCCTTGGAGGGCGCCGCATCACCGCGGTTCGCGCGCACGGCCTGCGCTGGCGACCCGCGCGGCGCTGCCTGGGCCATAGCCCCGAGCAGCTCGTTGGTCTCCGCGACGCGGTCCGCCACCAACTGCACTCGCTCTGCGAGCGTCTGCAACAGGTTGTTCGACTCCTCGATGGCCTCGTGCGTGGCATTCGTACCCACCTGCAAACCAGCGATCCCGTCGACGATTGCCTGCAGCAGCGTCTCCGTGGGCGACGGTCCTGGTGCTTGCTGGCCAGCTGCTGCTGCTGGCTGCCCTGCTGGTGCAGGCGGCGGCTGAAGCACTGGAGCTCCAGCTGCTGGAGGCGGAGGTCCAGCTGGAGCTCCAGCTGCTGGGGGCGGAGGTCCAGCTGGAGGTACTGGCTGGCCGCGGCCAGCTGCTGCGGGCGGCGGCTGAAGTCCTGGTGCCGCTTGCGCTAGCTGAGGCGCTGGCAGCGCCAACTGCTGCGGAAGTGTGTGGATGTAAGTGTCGTCCGTGTGAACCTGCGCGATGTGAACCTGCCAGCCGCGCGTGAAAGATGCCAAATTGTTCCAAGCTCCCTCTGTCCTGTTCTTGTGTCTGACCACCGCCAAGTGATCTGCCGCCACCGTGCTCCCATTCGTAGCGCACATAAGGCACTTCCACGTGCCCGTGGCGCGGTCCCACTGCATGTAGGGCGCGTCCACCCACGACCCGTCACTGAGCGTAACCGTCTGCGGGCAAGCCCATTCGTTCTCCACGAACTGCAAGTGCGCCGCCATGACGGGCGGACGCTCGCTCTCTGCAGGGCGGTGGCAACTCCAAATCGCCCTCTGAAGGGCCTTCGCCAAAATGGCTTTGGCCTAGATGGCTGCATTACGGAATAGGTCGCCCTCGTCCTGGGTGGGTCGCGGGTGGGTCGCCTTTGTCATGGGTGGGTCGCGGGTGGGTCGCCCTCGTCGTGGGTGGGTCGCGGGTGGGTCGCCCTTGTCCTCGTCGTCCTCGTCGTCGTCGTCGTCTCGCCAGGGTGCCCCCGCGGGCCCTCCCTCAGGACCCGCCTATACTCGCATGTGATTCCGCGCGCCCCGTCCAAACTCACAGCGGCCCTTCGGGCGTCGGTGGTTTAGGGAGTCCCCTCGTCCAACCCCCATTATTCCCCTTCGGGGCGGGGTTTACCCTTCCCCCTCCCTTCCCCTGGGCCTGGACGGGCGGGGCCGCGACGCGTTGGAGCGACCCCCAGACCCTGTTTGGTTTAGGGAGTCCCCTCGTCCAACCCCCATTATTCCCCTT